TTGCGACCCCTCCCCCGAATAGTTTGTTCTCGCAGTCAATGTTTGTTGCCGCATATCTGTCATTCTGGCATTGTAGTCGTAGTACAAGAAAGAACCCGTGTCAAATCGTTTGTTACATTCTTTAGAGGGGCAACCATAGCTCGCGCGCGCGAGAAAACAACAAACAAACAAATCAACATTCCGCGCGCTCTGATAGCGTCATAACATCTAATTCGCTGCTCCTGATCGATCCATTAAAATGCATAGGCCTATGTGTATGCCAGGGTAATGTGAAACGAATCAGCGAAGGGAATTAGGAAGTGTTATGTTTGCTAGATTGAAGAAGGAAGAAGTTGATATGAATTGACACGCATGATTTGATGGCATTTAGGATGTAGGTTGTAATCATCATAATACAGGCTTGAAAATGGTCTACAAAGTTTATGTCTGCCTCTAATAACATAGACCTACAAAGTTTAACGCTCCAATTGACACTTTATTAGTATAGGCTATTCATAATATTAAATAAACTGGTTAACTATAGGCCTATCAACATTACGATCGCAAAGACCTTTGAGACAAATTAAATAAACGTAGTAAATTTCATGTGTCAACTATTGGCATGTAAGAAAAGTATAATTACAGAATCAGGCATAATACATAATCCGAATATGCCCACGATAGTATACCCGATTTGTGAATTGTAAAATGTAATTGTTGATTATTAATCCCCCCTCTGTTTTTCATCGTTAATCTAAATTTGATCGGAGGAAGCCCCCAAGGACATTTATACCGGAAATATGTATTAATATCTCCAAAAAAAAATCTTGACTTGTCCCCCCACCAAACACAAATCGCAGCAATATAGTTGTTCATTTCGAGTACAAAAAGTCTTTAATGTTTTCCCGCGCATAATTACGCGCCAAAAGTGCGGTTCATGTAGCCTTACACGTAGAAGTAGAAATATATATAGGCATTTATCAGGACGCGTATTAATTACTGTGACTTAAGACCAGTAGTTGAAAATGAGTTCAATTTCTTAAGCATGGATTACCTCTATGCTACTTATACTATTTCCAATAATATTCAGTGTTTCGTCTACATGAGGCATGGAACGTAGTAAAACAAATTGAGATCGCAATAATTTTTGCCACCATGACTAATTAAATGGTCTATGAAATCAAATAGAATTATTATCAATTTAAATTTTTAATTTCATTTTCAGTGTGTCTGTTATTTACCACAATAAATTAATTCAAATCGTGACAGAAACATCGCAATATTTATTTTCTTTCTTACCAGATTTATTACAACTGAGAAAACTAGCAGAGAGCTTTCCTTTTTAATGCGGAAATAAAATGGATTTGAACCCATTTAGATGAAAAGGAAGTAATACCTTGTGAATTGTTTCCGATTTTAACCCTTACTATTTCCTAAAAGGAAACAATTTCACCAAATAGCTTCCTCAAATGCCCGATATATGAGAGTAATATTGAACCCAACAAATGTCAAATGATAGCAATAGAGCGTGCATTTACCTTGCTAACGCAATTTAATATTTATAATCCCATTCAAAATCTAATTTTGTTGAGTTTGAGAAATGTATGCAGGTGTCTATGACCGGTCACGGCCTTGATTAAAGGGATAAAGGCAAGCCAGAAAAGATAAGTAAAAATAAAATCATAATGTACCTCATACTAAGATCAATATATCTAACATAATGATGATCATATATTCTGGCATTGTATCAAGCCGTCAAGATCGTATCCAAAAAGAAGTAAAAAGGTCCACCACAGTTCACGCGTCTTAAAATAATCGCCAGAATCTTTAAATGAACCCGGTGAACATGGGGGCAGACACTCTAATGATACCTGTGTGCAAAGTATAAAAAAATTGCATTATTCTAGATTTTTTTGTAGAATACCTTGGGGGCAAAAACTAGCGCTATCAAGTATCTGCAAATTTCCTTCAGGAATCTGTTCCTATTGGCCTAGAAACGAGTGACTCTTGTGTCGAGATTTCGATGATCTTTATCAGGATAGAATATTCAGTATGCCAGGTTGTAAAATGTTGATGCAACGAAAGTATTTAGAAACAAAGTCACTTTCCCCTTCTTCGGCTATCCACGAACTTAGTTGTGAAATGAAATCCTAGGCATTTTCGATTGGGGAATATGGTGAGAAGTTTACTTACAAATGCGTTTCATATACTGCCCTCGCACGAATTGTGGCATATGCAAAAAGTCCATACTATATCATTACTATTTCTACTACATGTACTACTATACTGCTAAACAATTCAAAGAGCAATATAACCAAAGGAAACTATGAAAATTAACAAAAAGTTCACTAACAAATATATGTACATGGGCAGTGCAGGAGCATTTTTTAATAAAGTAGTTTGTATTGATTGCTAATGATATATGCCTTTTGATGTAAATAAATAAAAAAAAACATGATCATATTATGATCATGTTTTTTTCAGGACCCCATGGAAGACCACTACAAAAGATTAGAAATAAATAAAAACTTTCGCATCGTTTTTGCTCAATGAGTACAATTTTAAAGCGATATTTTTTTGATATTTCTCAAAGTATATATTTTTTCTTTTCATAGATATTTGAATGTAAAGAGGAGCTTTGAGGCTTGTTTTGCATGTTTTTAACGGGTCCCCACCCCTCTTTTTCGTTGTTGTTCGTTCCTTGAAGGTTCTTTAGGGGCGCTCCCTTGCTCATGTCCTGTTTGTGACGCGTGATGCATCAAGGGAAGGAGAAGAAGTGACCACGGAAATATTACGTAACATGTCTGGACACATGCCCAATGCTATAGACAATGGATACACCTCTGATGGGTGGGGGAGGGTAATAACTTCATCACCGTCATATAGTGAATTCCTATACACTTTGCAACGTCTTTAATAAAATATAAAGAAGAGTTATGGTCGTGCATGCGATAACATTTAAGAAACTGTCTGGTAGCAATTGTCAAAATGTATTATGTAGTACATAGTTACGTATTGATGCATACTGTAAAGTTTGGAATTGCATAGGAATATTAGGGCAATCTGTTATTTTCGGGAAAACGTTCCATTATAATATTCTTCGAAATTGACATTAAAAGAACGGGTAAAACGGGCTATCCTCTTCTTTTGATTGAGTTATTGATCATGTTTATGATATTTATTTTCGTTAAAAATCGTAGACATGTTTTTTCCTAATGGTGTCCTTGTTCTGATCGTGACATACGCTCAAAATGTAAAGAGAAAGTTCGCGTGCTAATATCAACCGTGGAGGAAAAACAGGCTTACAAGCCTGTAATCTCTTTGCAACCGCTAAACTTTTTAACTTGGAGATGGGACATAAGAGGTTGAGGGAAATTCCCGTTGGAGGGGCGGGTGGAATATCTAGAGGAACCCTGTTCGCTATTTTTGTCGGTGAAAAATAAAACTTAGAAAGCTATTGATTAAAGTGATATAAAGCAAACATTATCCCCTATGATAATTTTCATTCACTTGCTAATATTCAATATCATTAACAAATTTACAATTTTGATTCCACCCTTTTTTCGTGGGACATGTGATTAAATACAACAAACGAAAAAATGGAACCTGTATATTGAGTTGTATAGTTAGTTTAGTTTCCTGTCTCTAGCACCGTCTGATTGCTTATTTTCTTTCTAATTCATTTGTTAACAAACAACCTTTTAAGATTGCCATCAGCTTCCCTTTCGATCGCGCCTTGCTTGTACGCTCGGGTGGGGCCCACGGGAGCCCTCCCCTGCCCCCTAGGGGGTACATCACTTGCCCCCTTTTTCCTGTGAGGAGGACCCGTTGGGGCGGCTAGGCAGGAAGTGCGGCACCTGTTGAAAAGCCTCAGTATCACCACCGAGTTCGGTATACGGCTAGCTATCTACATGTATATATCAATAACGACAGACTGAACACTGACTGAGAGTTATCTCCTGCCTATTTTAGATTCTGATATATATAAGGTTTGTACTTTACTTAACCCTAAAACTAACCAAGAATCGCACTATGAAGTCTGTGGATATATTAATTGGGTAAGTATTCTGTCCTACTCTTCAGCAATTAAAGATACTCCCGAAAGTACCCTTTCATTACTTTTTATGAAGTTTATTTATAGTATCTATTCCTTCACAAATACACATTACTACTAAATTTAGGTTTATTCTGTTTTTGGTGTCATGGAAGTTTCTGAGTTTGTTTTTAATTCAGGTAGTTATAATTACTTAATGATATTTTATCGTTTTTGTACTCTCATTATGTACTTAATGAAATGACACTTTTTCCGGAGGAATTACAAATTCCAGAGCAAAATTTGCAAGTGGTTTTTCGAATTTATAGTAATTTCTCTACTCGGTTTTACAAGTTTATTTCATAGTCAAAATGTTATATGCGGCATTCCATAGCGCATCACTTAGGATTTGACCTCTGTGACCCCGTGAGGGGGAAAGGGCGGAAGTAGATATCTCTAACCGCCGGTGTTTAGGGGAGAAGGGGTTATCTTCAATTTGCACGATATCCGACTCGCGCTCAAACTTGCTTTTTTTTTCCTTTCTCCTCCCTCTCTACAAACAAAGGCGAGAAAATGAGGCGAAGAAAATATCTCTTTTAACCAGCGTTAAAGGTGATGCTGTAAGTCATCCTTACTACAATTATAAACCAATACAATGTTCTGTTATTGTTTTTTTTTTTTTTTTTTGGGGGGGGGGGAGGTTTCAATGAGAGGCCTATGTAGTAAAGTGTATAGCTAATCGGGTCCTGCGAAAGCGCAAATTAAAAAACGCAAACGGACGCGCGCACATGCGGTCTACAAACTAAATGAATTGCTCGTTCATTGCACACTCGTCATCAATCTCCATTAGCATAGTAATTGAGATTCACTTGGTGGAGGAAACAACAGCGTGCACCATCACCATTCACCTGTGCTCGTCCATCCTCGACAACAACAAGACAAACACACATTGTGACGTAATAATGGGTAGTATGTGACGTCGTCTTACCTGGACTCGTGCCTCTGTAAGATCGCATCTGAGGGCGAGCTGTTCTCTGCAGTACACATCGGGATAGTGCGTTCTTTGAAATACCTGAAATAACATAAACACAGATTCATTATTAAAATGCTGCAAATGACAAGATGGAATTGCTGTACACTAACAATGATATAGAAATTAGACACCTGATATAACTTTATAAAAATGTTGAAGTAGTATGAAACATCACTACAATCATTATCATTATTGCTATCATGGTATATACAGTTATCTTTTCGTGGCTTTTTGCTAATACTTATAGGACAGTAATAATAATCATGGGACTTAGTAATAACATTTATAACTTAGCAACACAGATGAATTACCAAGTTTCTCGATGGAAAATGAGATTTTTAAACGGAAAGAAAACTCGTACCTTCTCCATCTCCTCAAGTTGATAGCTGGTGAACGTCGTCCTATTTCTCCTCTTCTTCCTCTTGGCATCGCTGTCGTTCTTGTCGTCATCCTTGGGATCGCCCATCGGTGACTTGACGTCGTCGCTGCCCTTGCCGTTGGCGCCGGCGTTGTTGTTGGTCGAGTCCTGCTCGGCTTTGTGTATCCCACTGCTGCCACCGCCCAAGAGGCCCGGTGTGGAGGTGTCCATGCTGCGGTCGGTGAGCGGGGAGTCTAGGGCCGGTTTGAGGGTGGTGGTCGTCGTCGTGGCTCCTGTAGGTGGACCCAGGGGCGTGGGGTTCGGCGTTGAGGGCGTGGTGAGGGGGATCATATCTTTGTTCTGGCTGGGATCTGTAATCGAAAGAGAGAAAGGAAGAGAAACCCATTAGAAAATCATCCAAAAAATGTGTCAATACCTACAAATTACAATATCACCGTACTGTACATACCAAACACGATATACGTGATAGTTTTGGTCATTGTGAACTTGGTGCTTCGTTAAATATCTGTGAGCGCTTTCCAAAAAGCCGCGACTTTGTTGCCTTGCCAACCTGAACAAGGGAGATTAGATATCAGCTAGAGGAATCATATCGGGGAAGAAGCCCTTCTATGACCTGTGGTTGTTGTTAGGATTAAAGCCAAGCATGACTCAATCACCTTGTATGATAGTAGTTACCATGCGGTAGGTCCATGGTAGTTACTAACAGTAACAGTAAGTGCAGAGAGAGAAAGTCTTCAACAGGGATAGTATATCAGTGGGTTGTTTCACAAAGATCCCAAGTCGAAATTAACTCTAAGCTGGACTTATGGATAGCCATGTGTAGCCTTAAAATAAAATATATTCAAGAGCGAAAGTTCAAGTATTATCAAGAACATGAAGTCTGTGTGATAATGAAAAATATGAATGATTAAAAGTCAACATTATATGCCTTTTAAAATAACAATTTTACAAATATTTCGAAATATGCTAACGGCTTTCCATATTGTTAAGTCCAACTTCGAGATAAGTTTAACTTGGGATCTTTGTGAACCCCCCCCCCCCCCCCCGGTTCGTAGCAAGCTAGTTTGAAGCAGGATAGTGTGTAGTTTTATTCTTTGATTTTGATCCCAATTTGAAAATAATACTGAGTATAAGTTGTGAAAGTTGTTTGGACCAAAAACTTGAAGCATTTCGCCTTATTTTGCTGAAGTTGCTGAAGAAGATGTATTAAAACATATAGTCTTTACAAAACAATACATGAAACAAACAAACAGACAATACAATACTTAACACAATCTACTACTACAAACATCTCTTAACCGCAGATTGCGCGTGTGACACATCCGTCATTTGGAGGTATCAACAGCTATAAAATATTACCTACAGTTCATCTGTGACAGTTTTCCATTCAAATCACATCGTGTAAAATACATCAACATACTGTGCATAGCCTTACGAACTGCCTCAGTTCATTACGGGTGCAACATTGATATGGGACGCCAACTGGTATCGAAATTTCCGGTGAGTCGAGCTCAGCAAATGGAGTATGGAAAGCAAGATCGCATTGTGGGCATTTTAACTAAGTGATTGAAGGAGCAGATTGATATAGGACTGTCGCCAATGATTTTGCATTCCATTGACGAAGTGAGAAAAGGATTTGGCGCGCAAACTTATAATCAACAATGTGACATATTAATATTGCACGGGTCTACATACTTTATTCAATGTCAATGTTGCTATGAAATTAAATAACCAATATTGCGCAATGAATAGTAAACACGGTTCAAACGATAGCGGTTGCCATTGATCACTTAAAAAAATTTCAAGCAAAAGCCCTGGAAATATTAATGTATAGTAATCTCAAAATGAGATTGGAATATCTATTGAAGATTACAATTAATTAGGATTTGGCCTGAAATTGAACTAAGTGTCTCTGTGACATTATTTTGTTTTAATAGACAGGTGATTAAAGCAGTTTTATAAGGAATGAAATGGACCTACACGGCTCCATGTACATTTGTTTAATTTAATGAGACATGCAGGAGCATACAGGTTTGTACAGGGGGTATTATAATGGCCGATTTTTCGAGTGAACCCAGTGAAAAAAGTGGAAATATATCGTGACCTGTCGTGAACTTGGAACCGGCTAGATCGGGGAATAAGGGACAGGAAGTTGCTTGAAATAGTGAAAGATTGGTTGGTGTATTGTTGGTGGATGAACACTGCTATTGAGAAGGGTAAAGAAAGAGAGACAGAGAGGGGAGGGGAGGGGGAAGGGGGCAACAAAAAGACAAAAGGCAGGGAGTGAGAATTGCGAAGAAATAGATGCAGAGAGAGAGAGAGAACAAAAATAGAGAAAAAGAGAGGGATCATGATCAAAGAGACAAAAATGCGAACATTACGCATAAAACGATATTGATTTAGAGAGAAAAGCATAGATAGAGAGAAAATGATGAGAGAAGGAGAGAGAGAGAGAAAATAAATACATGTAGATATAGATACATGATTTGACTTAAAACTAATGAGGGATTGATAGAGGAAGAAACAAAGATAAAAAGGAAAACGACCTGTCTGAGAAGGGAGCTCTGTACAAAGAGGAAGTAGCCTTACAGAGGAAGGGTAAAGATGAGGGGGAGGGGGGGGGGGGGTGGCAGTGCCTGTGGTAGGAGGGGGCATAAATCTGAGAGGAAGTGGATTGGCGATGACGATCTAAGCTTCCTTTGTAGCCGAAAATAAACCCAATAGCAGACATACATTCAGGATGATACAGACAAATATACGCAGAGAAATAATGATTTGTTACGATAATTCTGTACATCAATATTGTACATCAAACTATCCAACCACTACTACTTCTACTAGTACTATTTCTTCTACTGCTATTACTTCTATTACTACCAGTTCTAATATACGCCCATAGAAATATTATATATAATCCTTCAAGAGAAATGATAAGCAATTATTGTGCAGTCGATGAGGATATTCCATATCGATGGAATGGAAACATGATTGTAATGAATTATAAACAAGAACAGTTGTGCATATATGTTGTACAACTGTTCATTTTGCACGATGGATCAGTACTGTTGTGCGCGTAAACTAAGTTTTACAACCGACACAAATGGTCAGTTGGAAAAATTACGATAGACAATTCCCTTATGCCCTTCCAAATAGCCCGCAATAGAGCTACTGGTTTATTGCGCTATGACCTTGCCAACTAATCTGGCCGGTCACTTATCGACATCAAAAAGGCTAAATCTTGTGCGTAAAACAACTGTTAAACTTTCATATCGCGGTGTATTTTCTATGATATATATACACACTCAGCAACTGGTCATTGCAATATACTTGTATGTTACAGACAGTGTAATTTACAAGCTCAGCTGTGGGTTGGGGACATTATTTGACATTATTGAAACAACATGACTGACAATAATGCTATAACATAACTTGATAGCTCAGTTGAAAATTAAAGACCGATATAATTTCTAAAAAATGGGGAGTACCTATATGGAATACTTCCAAGTGGATTGTTATGCTTTTATAATAAATAGGGTAAACACCTATCATTTGCTGATTTTAAAAAGAAATTTGAATCAAAAGTAAGGTATAATACTGAATGAGTATGAAATTAAAAAATAGTATTTCCGGAATGTATTTAACAGGAGTTGGTACATTAATAGGTGCCCAGTTAGGGATCCTAATATCCCTATGACAATATTATAGTAAAGGGACATTGTGTGTTATTGTGCAAGTTATAGTTATAAGATGCATAACTAGTTATGGAATTTCCCCGGGGTGGATGTGTAGCTAAACACCCTATCATGATGTGACATTTCCATAGAATTAAAATTTATTTCTTCTCTCTTTCTCACGCCACAGCCCCCGTATGTGTCAAAGAAGTTTAGACGGATTGCGAGGAAAACTAGAAATGATTTCAAACTAATCGTACACAGACGCGGGGGAAACATGATATGCATTTATGTCTCTCTCCTCAAAATAGCTAGAATTTGAAATGAATAAGAGTGAAATATTATATTTGGAAGAGACTCGTGTTACTCCTTCTACTGTATATTTGAACTTTATTCATCTCTGTACTCTAGTATAGCAAAGAACATGACTTGTATTTTATCGCCGAACAAAATAATGTTTGGAATTTGTATTGTAATATACTCGAAATTTGAAACAATGAAAATCTACAAAATAAAGTTGTTATTTTATAACATGTAATTTTGTTTCCTAAATAGGATATGAATACTATTAATTTTGTAATATTATCAGTCCTAAATATTCTTCATTTGGAATATATTCATCATGTTAAATACAGTCATAAACTGATAAATGGTTATAAACTATAGTGAATATGACATCGTACCTGCCTCTGGCAAATGCATTGCTTTGTACATGTAGAATATGATTGAGAGCAGCAAAGTATTCATTATCACACCATTAAAACGCGATAAAACAAGCTATCTAATTGAATATGCTGTGAAAACAATCAATTTGGCAACATGAGTCGAGAATCTATAATTTGCCGATATTTGTGTATTACTTTTGGTGTTTTGGGGTGAGAAAAAAAAAGTAATCATTTTTTGTCATCACCCGTATTGGTAATCCAAGTGCGATAGCCCTATCGTGCTATGCACAAAATCCGTACGACTTATGGGATTGGCAAGTCGCGATCTGAAAATTGAAATACTCGACAGCAAATTACACTTTCTAATGCATATAGCAGATCGGGGTATGTACAGACGAGACTTCGGCGATGAATTTTTTACGCTATCGCGACAAGGAAAGGGTTCATATTTGTTTCTGGCTTATATATTTCGCGCTATTAATTATGAGGGGTATACACAAGACTTGTATATTTTAATAAAAGGAAGAAATGAAGAGAGCGTTGTCTCGATTATAATTGCTCGAGTGCTTGCCTGTTATGGCGAAATTAAACTATAACTTGATTTTTTAAAGGCAGATTTCAAATTAGAGATTGATGATAAGGTATACACGTATATATTACATCACACATAATCATATAGGAAACAAATATCGTTTGAAAACTCGTTTGATTGAAATGGATTTATAACTTGACAAGACACTCTAAATGTTATTTTATATAATGCTGATATATTATATTGAAGTGGGAATACAAATTTGCAACAAATAAATGATTCTTAGAATAGTTTGCCCAAGTTCCGAAAAATATCTCGTAGACAAAAATGTTAATAAGTGTTTAAACAAAAGTTAAACTCGTAAAGCGAAGACAGATCAAGTAGGTACACCATGAACATGTAACTAAGGAAATCAAATGAAAATGGAGAAAAGCAGGGATATAAATAGTTTATAAAAATGATCCGCGGAAATGTGTTCACGT